CACCCTTTAGAAAAAAAACCCCAGGCAGGGGTGTTCAAACTTGACAGCTTTAAGACTTGTGGACTTCAACTCCCAGAATTCCTCCTCTCGCTCTTCATCTTGATGATGTGCAGACGGGCGGAGGGAGGGAGCTGGAACCGGTTCTAAACGGCACTGTAGATTTGTGGAACCTCTTCTATAAAAGAGGTTAGAACTGGCAGGAACCCACCCCTGGTACAGATTATCCTCGACTTATGACCAATAGATATGAAATTTCCATTGCTAAGCGAGATAGTTGTTAAGTGGGTTTTGCCCCGTTTTATGACCTTTCTCATTATTAAGTGAATCACTGCAGTTAAGTTGGCAACACAGTTGTAAAGTGAATTTGGCCTCCCCGTTGACTTTGCTTGCGAGAAGGTCACAAAAGGAGATCACGTGACCCCAGGATGCTGCAATCCATCATAAATATGAGCTAGTTGTCAAGCGCCTGAATTTTGATCATGTGACCCTGAGGATGCTGCAGCGGTCGTAAATGGGGGAAATGGTCATAAGTCACTTTTTTATTGTTGCTGTAACTTCGAACGGACACTAAATGAATGGTTGCAAGTTCAGGACTATGTATAGTTTATTGTAATTGCAAATACCTAATGCTTCTTGATACGTCTGTTAAACTTTAGACTGTGTATCCAGCAGTGGAATTCAGCCGATTCGTGCTGGTTCGAGTGAACCGGATATTAATTTTACATCCAGTTTGAGGAACCGGTAGTTCTGACGACTGGCTGCCCGCCCACCACCATGCCCCTCCCTACCCCTCCCCGGAGTCCCCACGTGTCCCATTATGGCTCCCAAATAAGTGCAGGGAGGCCTCCTAGGCCCAAAACGGGACACGGGGTGGGTGGGCTCAGGCCCCCCATTGCCCATTTTCATTCCCAGGAGGCTGCAGGGTCCAAAACGGGGTGGGGGGGGAGTGATGTTTTTGCTTCCGGGGGTGTGTGTGCAGGGGACCAAGTGATGCCTGATCATGCCCACCATGGCCATGCCCACCAAGCCGGTCATTAGGGCAAAGAACCGGTTGCTAAATTAGTTGAATCCCACCACTGTGTGTATCCAAACACGTCTTAGGAACAAACTACACATGGTCACAAACTACCAACTCTGTGAGTTGGGCAGCCATTTTTTTCCCAATAAATAGAAAGGAAGGTACAAGACCAACTACATGGCACACTCTGCCATATATCAAAAATATTTCAGAAGCAGTAGAATGCAACTTCTGAGACCTACAAGTGGGCATTGCACACAACCCAGAGGCTACCATATAAGGGCAAATCGTGTATTGCAAATATCGTTTGGAGGTGGAAGATATTTCTTATGTAATCTACCAGATCTCCTTCATGGACTTCCTCTGTGATCATGTTGGACAGATGAGGAAGAAGTTAGTCACCAGATTGCAAAAACACAAGCGGTCAGACGAGGACACCTGAACTCATTGGTAGATTCACCGTGCAATGGTGACAAGGACATCCATTCAATTTCACAGCTACTAAGATTGTTGGCAGAGCAGGTACAAAAATAGCCAGGGGAATGGTTGAAGCCTGGGAAAGAGGCCCTTTATCAGTCAACAGGAATGCTTATATATCATCAGCTTATCAGGTACTTAGGAGCCCAAGGAAACAACACTGCTGGATCTACTTGCCTCAGGGGTTATGTTTGCTATCGGTGTATTACTTGGAACTTTGACACAGCCAATGGCTTAATACTTGGCCATCAACACCCCAATCAATGAACAAAAAGCCAGACACAATGGAATAACCCAAAGGACACATTCCGCAGGGACAGAAGTTCCCTGAAGGTGGACTCCAGCATGAGCCCAAAAGCTCGGAAGACTAAACCTCTGGTCCTGGTGACCCAGACTGGATCTTGCAACAAAAAAAACACACTTCCTAAGCAACTCATTGTTAATGTACACCCAAGTACCTGGTGATCCGCAGTCACAACAGACATCATTTCCACTTAATCTCTGAACGTCATCGATGATGGCTTTTGTAAGATCTTCTAGACTGTTCTCCCCTGTGCTCTGTTCTCCACGGAAGGCCATATTTAAAGCTTCTTCTTTGCTGTTGGTCAGCACTGATATCCACCTAAAACAAGACAGAAATGATCACAACATAATTTACCCAACACAAGAAACTACAAAAGGGATACAACAGGGAAGGAAGAGAAGAGAAAAATTGCTCTATATCCTTATTTTATTCCATCGCCTTCAAACTTTGAAGGAGGTGAAACAAAAAAGTCTAAAAGGCATGACACCATGCAAGATAGTCCTTGACGTATGACCCAAAATTTCCGTGGCTAAGCAAGGCAGCTGCTAAGTGAGTTATGTCCCATTTTATGAACTTTTTTTTTTGCCACAGTTGTAAAGTGAATCACTCCAGTGGTTAAGTTAATAACACAGTTCATAAATGAATCTGGCTTCCACATTGACTGGGCTTGTCAGAAGGTCACAAGAGGTGATCACATCACCCCGGGGCGTTGAAACCGTCATAAGTGCATGCCAGTTGCCAAAGCATCTAAATTTTGATCTACCAGGACCAAAATGGGGCGCAGGGGGGCACACATGCATGGACAGAGGGAGCGCAGGGGAATCGTGTACGCATGCACAGGGGTAGGGGAATCACGCGTGCATGTGCAAGGCTAATGGGGGGGTTGTCGCACACGCATTGCATTATGTATGTGGGTCCGCGTGTTTTTGCCACGCAACGACAAAAAGGTTACCCATCACTGGTCTAGAATCACATGCTAGAGTGAAAGTAACCTGGAAACAGACAACCAGGCATTCACACATTGTGTGAAGTAGCTAAAATATGCACCCATTTTGCCAGCCAACAATAATCTTGTTTATTATTGGACAAAAATGAACTTTTCTAAAAAAAAAAATAAAAAAAAATTCCAGGAATGAAAATGTCCTTACGCGACATAATCTTGCTCATCTTCTGCCTGAAAGTGGTATGTTCTGTTATCTGGAACATAAACATGCAAATCTTTCAAAATAATGAACGTATTAATTGCATTCTTAGAGGGGAAAAAATTATTTACAGACTTAGAAGTCAACATTTAGTAACCAAGCACATATGCTGAAATGAGTCAGGGAACCTTCAGAAGTTCTATTTTCAGTGGAAAACATTTTGTTCACATTTATTTTATTTTTATTTTTAAAAAGAGCTAACTTGCTCTTACAAAAATATCCAAGCAAGAACAGCTTGCCTCCAGAAGTTGTGAATGCCCCAACACTGGAAGTCTTTAAGAAGATG